CAAATGTTTCTGCTGCCATTGCAATGTACATACTGTATTTTGCTGTTGTCGCCTTCAAAAAGATTTATTGCCGACATATATGCGTTATGGTCGCGTAAGTACTTGGACTCCGATTGCGCCTTCTGGTTTAGGTCCTTTCTTTTTTAAGAAATTGCTTGAGTATTTTCTACAGCCTACTATTTTGTGTGTATTTGTAACTGGTTATAATTAATTGTAGTGCTGCTTTTTCTGGGCCAGCATTTGGCCTGAAAGTTGAGCTTTTTACAATACTATTTGGAACCTGAACTAGTGTCCAAGGTGAGAAGCAAGTAAAAGCATTTGATTTCTCTTTACTATCTCTGAGTTATATTCATTCAATGGCTTTTTAATTGTGGGGTTGTTACTGAATTCCAGGATCACCCAAAACCGCTGAAAGGTAACAATGATTTACTGTCAATGACAAGACCTGACATCATTTACAAAGTCCACAAAAAGTACTTGGATGCTGGTTGTGACTTTATCGAAACTAACACGTTCAGGTAAGAGATGATGTGAAGTAGTTGTGCTTAATTGTCTATTGAGCTAAGTTGTGGGTGGAGAATTTAATGCTTTGCCGCATGGCGAGCGCAAAAACCTGTCGTGAGAAACTTTTCAGAACTTTATACTCGTACAAGTCAGTTTAAAAAGAGACATTTGTTTGTTGATTTCTTGACCGTGAAGGGGAACTGAGCATAGTTTTTTCTATATAAGTACTTTGTAGTTCGACGACTATTGCACAAGCGGATTACGGGTGCGAACATTTGGTTGAAGAGCTTAATCGTCAATCAGCAAAGCTAGCTCGAAGAGCAGCAGATGAAGTTACCAATGAAACTGGTTTGGCCAATTGGTTTTTTCTTGTAAAATTCTTTTCTTTTTTTTGCTTAATTTTCAGACTTTAGTTTTAAAAAATAAGTTTTATATACATTTATACGCTTTAGGTATTAGAAGATTTGTATGTGGTTCCATAGGGCCTACTAATAAAACACTGTCGATTTCTCCTTCAGTCGAGAGACCTGACTACCGTAATATAAGTTAGTTATGCATTGTTTATTTCGCTTACTCTTTATGTTTACTGGAATTCAATAATAACTACTTTTAACCCTTTTTTATCTCACCTTAGGAAGGCAAAATTTATTGTTTTTATTCTCATGCACTACTGCAATAACATTTACTTGTTGGTTACAGCATTTCAAGAGTTAGTAACAGCTTATAAGGTGCAGGCAAAAAATCTTATTGATGGAGGAGTGGATGTTCTTCTTGTTGAAACAGTTTTTGACACAGCAAACGCAAAGGCCGCACTTTTTGCTATACGTTTACTTTTTGAAGAGGAAGGTCTACCCGAAGTAAGATAATTGTGATTTTTTTATTTTCAGAATCTGGTAAAACAAATAGTATGCATTCGATTTCTTCTAAATCGGAGCATGAGATGAAGTTGCAAATGAATTCCTGTTTATTAATGCAACACTTTACCGTGTTAAGTTTTGTATAGTGATGAGTAGGTGAAGTCCCCAATTAATTTATATGGCTGTTTAAAGATTCCTGTCTTTTTGTCTGGAACGATTGTTGATTTGTCTGGAAGGACTTTATCTGGTCAAACTGAAGAAGCCTTTTTAATCAGTACATCGCAGGGCCAGGCTTTAGCCAAAGGTCTTAACTGCGCGTTAGGAGCTAAGGAAATGCGTCCTTTTATCGAAACGGTCTCAAAAAATACGACGTCATTAGTCATTTGCTATCCAAATGCTGGTAATTTTGATGATTTTATTCTTGTCTATTCTGATATATTTTTTTGGTATTGTTATGCCGGTGGTTTTCACAAAAGAAGCTACTGTGTCTCACTGAGTAGCTCGTTCTATTTCTTTGGGAACTTCTTTATTTCACGCTTTTTTAATTTTGGACTTCACTTTTTTGGTCTACTCTATTTATAAATACTCCTTGAATGACTTTTTTCGGTCTTCCCAACGTTCTTGGAGAATACGAAGAGACTCCAGAAAATATGGCAAGGAATATCTTATCGTTTGCGGAAGACGGCTTTGTAATCACTAATTCTTATCATCCCTTAGGCGAAAGTTCTCTTATTATTACGCTATTTGAAGGGCCTAACACGATGTAGTTTATTATATGCAGTTATAATTAACAAGATGTTGTGGAATTTTCTTAGGTAAATATAGTGGGTGGATGCTGTGGTACTACGCCCGAACACATTAGGGCGATAGCTGATATTGTAAAGGGAGTAAGACCTCGAATTCCACCCGAGTCTGTACACAGCGGTTTAATGGCACTATCGGGGCTTGAACCCATGTTCATTGGGCCGCACACAAATTTTGTAAATATCGGCGAGAGGTGTAATGTTGCCGGATCTCGACGATTTTGCAACTTGATAAAGAAAGATGACTATGAGGTATGGGAAACGACATCATGTAGATTTCTGAGAAGGATTTTATCTGTTGTACTTGGCTTTTACAAATTAAGCGTTTTACTACAATGTTTTACACACGCACTCACGGTAGAGTTATCTGGCGGTTGTTAATTGGAAGCGTCATTTATAATAATTTGAGCAGTATGTTCTTGGTAATAATGTTGCTTAATTTTTACTAAGTGGATTTGGATTTCTCACACAGCTTAGAGTGTTTTTAGGCAGGAATTAAGATAGCCCGCGAGCAAGTGGATAATGGAGCACAGATTCTTGACGTTAACTTTGACGATGGGCTTTTGGACGGTCCTCATGTTATGGGAAAGTTCTTACGTTTCTTGTCATCAGAACCAGATGTTGCTAGGGTAAATTTTATCTCATGACTTTTAGCTTAGTCTATGACTTTCTTCACCCTATTTATTAATTGTCAAAGACAGTTTCTATGATCAATTTTAAATTTTTTTGAAGGTCCCACTATGCATTGACTCTTCAAATTTCGCTGTAATTGTAGCAGCATTGGAATCCTGTCAGGGTAAATGTATCGTTAATTCTGTTTCGCTCAAAGAAGGGGAAGAAGTTTTCCTGAACCATGCAAAAACAGTTAAACGTTATGGAGCAGCACTCATTGTCATGGCTTTTGATGAAGAGGGCCAGGTGAGTTGTAGTATTGTCTAGTGCTTCCAAATGAAAATATTTTTGAATAGATCACTTTGCTTAGACCTGATGAGCTAAAGTGTTCTTTCACTTTAACCATATTTCTTTTACAGGCAACCGATGTAGAAAAAAAGTTTCAAATTTGTAAAAGATCCTATAAGTTACTAGTTGAAAAAGCTGGCTTTGCTACTAGTGATATAATATTTGATCCAAATATTCTGACCATTGCCACCGGCATGAGTGAACATGCAACGTATGCAATTAATTATATGGACGCTGTAAAACTCATTAAGGTAAAATTATTACTGTTACCATCTAAAACTGTGCCTAATAATCAAGTCTTTTCCTACAGGAGCATCTTCCTGGTTGTTTCGTTTCTGGTGGTATCTCAAACTTGTCTTTTTCGTTCCGTGGAATGGATCAGATCAGAGAGGCTATGCATAGCGTGTTTTTATTCCACGCTATCAAAGCGGGGTTGGATATGGGTATTGTTAACGCGGGTGCTCTGCCAGTTTATTCTGATATCCAGCCAGATCTTCTTCAACTTTGTGAGGTATATAAGTTTTAAGAACACTGCTTTGTTGATTAATAGCCTGGTACAGACTATTGCTATTTTTACACTGGAGTAGTTGAACAGGACCTGATATGGAACAAAGATCCTGAAGCGACTGAAAAGATGCTAGCTCTTGCACATAACCTGAGACTTAAAGGCAAGAAAACAATTGCTGAAACGTCTTCATGGAGAAGCTTAGATGTTGAAAAGCGAATTGAATATGCGCTAGTTAAGGTATTTATGGCACCATTTTTGTAGAAGTACTCACAAATTCCCTCTAAACTCTTTTTATGCAGTTATTTATTTTATCAACATATTTTAGGGTATTGATGAATACATAGTCGACGATGTAGAGGAGGCAAGAACGAATACCACAAAATATCCGAGGCCTCTGAATGTTATAGAACAACCGTTGATGTCAGGAATGGCTGTGGTGGGAGACTTGTTCGGCTCGGGAAAGATGTTCTTGCCTCAGGTCGGTCTTTAATGAGGAACATTCAAGTGATGCAGTTTTGGTAATAATTAGTACGAACACTGTTTGGTTGCAGGTAATTAAATCGGCCAGAGTTATGAAAAAAGCTGTCGCTCATCTTATTCCTTTTATGGAGGCAGATAAGAAGAAAAATATTTCAGAAGGTTCATCGCAGCTTGAGGTAATACTTCTTTTTTGCTATTCATTTAAATGGAGTATCGTAATCAGCTTAAGTGGTATCACCTTGAATCTATGAAGTTTTTTTAGGACATCTACCAAGGTACAATGGTGTTGGCAACAGTCAAAGGTGATGTTCATGACATTGGAAAAAATATAGTAGCTGTTGTCCTCCGCTGTAATAATTTTAGGGTGATTGACCTCGGGATTATGACTCCATGTGAAAAGATTATCAAGACCGCTATTGAGGAAAAAGCTGGTTGATTTTCATATTATTTTAAAAAGCTTTGTTGATTAGATATTCCATATCAAATTACCTTTGGACTGTTCGCTTGATGATAGATTTTAGTTATCATCTGCGAAATTAGAGAAGCTTAATAGAAAAATCATATTTGTTATAAGAGCAGACTGCACTGAGTTGCTAAGTTGCTGAATCGTACTACAAACAAATACAAATATATGTTCAATTTGTAGTTTTTTTAAATTCAACGAGATTTAAAATATCCTAATTTATCTGGAAATTCATCTCTAGTTTAGAATTTCTGCATGGCCTTATATTTTTCAAGTATTCTTCGCGATTTTTATAGGGAAAATAGTTTTAAAATCCTTAAAAAATCAGGACTTCAATTTTTAAAAGTGTTTTTCGGGAAGTATGTCTTTTGTAAAAGGCAGTCTGTGTAAAGTGGAAGGAACGAAGATATTCTGTGGAAACGCGAGTTACTTGATGGAAAGTAAAACAGTACTTTGACGGTTTCACATTTATAGTGTCTTTTGAAAACATTTGATATATAAGTATGATCGTTTTTTATTTTCTCTGCAGTGCTCACACATAGCTGCGAGAGGAAGATGAGTTTAAAACCTGTATGCTCTCTTCGAATTAAAAAAGCACTTAATTCTTCGTACTTTAATGTGACTTATTGCCCTAACAAATATACATTTTCTAGTGAGCTTCTTGCTTTGCAGTAAATGATGACTTGACATGGAACTGCTCTTAATGCGTCCCAAGTCAAAGCATAATTTTGATAGAATTCATTATGAGATTTGTTCATCTCATCTCTGTCTTGTTTAGAATGTTGGGATATGGTGATTTTCATTTACAGACTTTATTGGTTGTTCTGGTTTAATAACGCCTTCACTTGATGAAATGATACATGTTGCCCGAGAAATGGAAAAAACAAAACTAGGAATTCCACTACTTGTTGGTGGTGCTACAACTTCAAAAATGCACACTGCAGTTAAACTCGCTCCTTGCTATGGTCAGCCTGTTATTCATTGTTTAGATGCTTCAAAAACGGTCTTGGTCGTAAGTTTTTAAAAGTTTGTTTTTCCTTACTCTGTTTTCGTTTG